TTTTTTTAATTATTATTTTTCTCTAGATTTTTATAATTTATAATAAATAAAATTTTTAGAATTAAGTTTTATATTTTATAATTATCTATTATCTATTATTTTAAATTATTAAATATATTTAATTTAAATAAATAATTAATCTTACTGCTTTATCTCTTTGCTGAAAATTAAATTTTTTTAATTAAATATAAATTAAAAAATATTTTATAAAATTATCTAAAAATATATATATATAACTACTATTAAAGTTCTTAGATACTAGATAAATATTAATTATAATAGATTACTAAATTAGTTTTAATTAAAAAATATTTCTTAATTTAACTGAATATTTTTTAATAAAAAATATAAATTATTATAAGATTTTACTAGACTTTTAATTAATATCTAAATCTTGTATTAATAAAAATCTAGCTGTAATTATTTTATTAGTCTTATATAAATATAATCTTATTTATTAGTTATTAAATATAATAATTAATAATATTAGTAATAATAATATAATATTTAATATAATCTTAGCTGAACTCTGAACTTAATTTAGTTAAAATATTTAATTTTATAATATTTTAATTAATTCTAATCTTTTAAAGATTATTTAAAGCTAGTATTATATTCTCTGTCTTATTTATATAATTTAGCTTATAATTAATACTCTTTTATAGAAACTTTAGATTAAGATTTTAAATAATATTATTAAATATATATAAAAAAATAATAATAAAAGTTTTAAAGTTTTTTTTAATATTTTAAAAATTTTTAAAAAAATATATTCTAAAAACTATCTATAAAAAACTAATATAAAATCTTTTTTTATAAAAAGCTTCTAAAAGTTTTTTATCAGCTAGTTTATTATATTAATTCTTAATTATAAATTTAAAAGATTATATAATTTATAAATATAAATTTTTAATATTATAAAAAGTTTTTATTTATTTAATAATTTAAATCTAACTTAGTCTACTATTTTTTTTTAATTATAAAACTTATTAAAACTTAATCTATCTTATAATTTATTAGATATTTAATATTTATTAAATAATTAAAAGTTTTATTCAGTACTGTAAATATAATAATATTAATTATTTTTATTTTATTATAATTAAATAAAAATAGATAAAATATTTTCTTAAGCTTTTATATTTCTTTTTTTTTTTATTTTTTATCTCTTTAAAAATAATAAATCTATTATTTATAAGATTTATAATATTTATAATAATTTTTTTAATTATCTGAATTATTTAATTAATAAACTAGAAAAAAAATAGATATTCTAAAAAAAAAAAATTCTTAAGAATTTATATAATATATATTAAAAGCTTTAAAAATATTATTATTATATTTATTAGATAGAAGACTATATCTATATAATTATAATTATTCTAAATCTAATATTAAAACTTAAGAAGTTTAAGAAAGATATATAATTAAATAATAATATTAATTAATATTATAAATATTAAACTATCTTTAAAAAGATATTTTTTTTTATTTTAATTAAAATCTAATAATTAATATATTATTAATAATCTCTGGATTATTATCAGATCTAAATAAAATCTTTTATAATATTTTTAAATATTAGAGACTCTTACTTATAGTTAAGATATATAAAAAACTTAAGATATATCTAAATATTAAAAATATATAGCTTTTTAAGATATTTTTAATTAAATTAATATAATTTTAGATATTATAAAATATACTAATATTCTTATTTACTAAAAGTTTTATTATAATTAGTTTTTTATTTTTTATTAAATAACTAAAGATTTTTTCTTAATTATAATTAATAATATTAGTATTAAATATTTTTTAATAATTTTTAAGATATTTATTACTATTATTAAAGTTATCTTAATTCTAATATAATTAAAATAATTATATTTTAAATATATATTAATTATTTTACTATAAGTAAGAAATATTAGAATATATTTAATAATTTTAATTTAAATTTAATTATTTTTATATTTAAGAAGTAAAAGAAGAATAAGATAATTATTATTTTTTATATTAATAAAAATAAGAATATAGATAATCTTAAAAATAACTTAAAAAATAAATTATTATTAAAATTAAAAGAATTAGTTTTATTTAAGTCTTTAATTATTATATATATTTAGATAAAGATAGAGATCTGATTTTTATAATTTTTATATTATTATATCTATTATTCTGAATAGTATAAAAAATAAATATTTTATATTTTTTTTATTTTTTTATATTAAATTTTATAAAAGTTTTTTTTAGAGTATAATATATTTTTTAAAATAATTAATTAAGCAGATCAAGCAGTAGACTATATTTAAAGAATATTATTATATTTATATTATAATTAAATATATATTATACTTTATATATTATCTATATAAGAAAAATATATATATTATAAATTAATCTATAATTATTAATTTATTTATTATATCTAATTTTTTTAATTAGCAGATATAAATAGTTATAATAATAATTATATCTTAATCTAATCTTAATTATATAGTTAAAAATTTTTTATATCTTAATCTGACTGTTAGATTATGGCCAGGTTAAGGTTAAGATATAACAGTCAGATTAAGCCACTCTACTGCAGCAGTAAGATTAATTATTTATTTAAATTAAATATATTTAATAATTTAGAATAATAGATAATAGATAATTATAAAATATAGAATTTAATTCTAAAAATTCTGTTTATTATAGATTATAGAGATCTAAAGAAAGATAATAATTAAAAAAGATTTATTTTAATTTCTAGATTAATAATTATTTAATCTAGATATATTTTAATTATATTAAAGCTTAAAAAAATATAGCAGATAAATCTTAATATTAAAAATAATTAAAATAATTAATTATTTAATTTTTAATTATACTATTACTATAATTAAATAAAAAAATCTTTTTAATCTGATTATAATCTGGCGGTTAGATATAAAAATTCTAATTAACCTGATCTGACCTGGCTGTTAGCCACTCTACTAATAATTATATAATATATAGATATTATTATAAAATATTTAATAATTAAAAATTATTATATAGAATAAGCCTAGAATTAATTAATTATATATTAAATATAGATTAACTATATTAAATAATAATTAAAATTAGTGTTGCTAACAGCCAGGCTGCCAGGGTAGGTTAATAATAACAGTGAAGAAATTTTGCTGATAATTAAAGTATTTTATAAGAATTAAAATAAATATATAATTAATTTTTAAATTATGTAATATATAGATATTACTATAAAATATTTAATAATCAAAAATTATTATATAAAATAGACTCTAAATTAATCAATTATATATTAAATATAATCCAATTATATTAGATAATATTTTAAATATAATTTATAAATAAATATTAGATATTCTTTTAAATTTAATTTTAAAATCTATATTTTATAATTTATTTAGATCTAAATATACTTTTTAAAAGATTGGTTTTTAACCTGTATTTTAACTGTTAGCCACTCTAATTAAAATATAATTTATAAATAAATATTAAATCTTTTTTTAAATTTAATTTTAGAACTTATATCTTATAATTTATTTAGATCTAATTATACTTTTTAAGAGATTAATTTTTAACCTGTATTTTAACTGTTAACCACTCTACTCGGGGAAAATGTATGACAGCCCGGTCCCTGAAATTTCCTCCCCATGATCTATTTAACAGACTTCAAATTTGGCGTGGAATTCCACATCGACACAGCTTGTCTTATTTTCACGCCTTTCTTTGTTTGACCGGGTGTGGTATGGATCGTGCATTACTCGCCCTGTTTATTCCCTGCTGTGTTCCTTTCCTATTCTTCTCCTTTGCTCCCATTGGTGCTTGCTACTGGCGACGTGAGGTATGATATGGCTATAGCTTTACGTCTGCCTGATTAACACGGCTTGCCGCGGGAGAGAAGTATCTGTTCCCCCTGGCTGGTCCACCGGCAGGTAGCCTTACAAGAGTAGGTCCATGAATTGCGGCAGACGCCGCCACTTGTCACCCTAGATCTTAATCACTGTGAGAGAAACAGGTAGGTCAGGTTATGTCAAACGGGCGCATTGATCTCACAAATAATTGGAATGATCATCCACATAATGTAGAGCCCATATCTATACTTCTGCCAGCCATCTTGTAGCTGAACAGCCGAAGCCATATTCCAACAGTGAGTGCCCTTTGCAGGAGTCCTATCTTCTCGTGATATTCGTTATCTGGGGGATCTAGAGCATACATGCTATCTAGAAATAGTTTTCATTATGTACCGGTGACCTACTATAGTAGGCGCAGTACCTAGTAGCTACCTACTTTCTTCGTACTTCTGTAGTATTGAGCTGATTACAATGAAGCCTGTTCGCATGACATGGCTGAATTGCCACGACGCCTCCGATGCCTTGCTTAGTAGATAGATATACAACAAGTCTTGAATCTGGCGTGGTTAGCAGTGCTAGTTTTAGAATTTCGCTGACGACACCTTATGCGATTTCAGCTCCCATTGTTCCTATGCCACCAGGCTTCTATCTATGTTCTATGAGTCCCTCTTTGCCAGTGCCCATGAGAGACAAAGTGCGGGAAGTCGGGCCAGGGGTTGTATCTTATATTCTTGGTCTTTCCCCAGCGCGTACCCACAACATCATCAATCCGGACCAATTGACACTTCCGAGCCTGAGTAATGAAGAACACGGCGTTCTCCCCCAGCTGTACTTGTGCGTTTTGCTTCCATTATCCCAGTCTAATACCACCACCTGTAGTTAACACCATTCAGACAAGTCACACGGCCCTTTGGGGAAGAGTGGAGTGAAAAGGGGGGGGGGGAGAGAGTCCAAGCTGCTTGCTCAAGACAGTTAGACTGGTTCACCCGAGCCCGCCCGGCATTACAGCAAGTCCGACCCCGCGCATGTCAACAGTGCGGGACAGCGAGACGAGATTTTGCCCGCAGATATATGCTTTCCCAGGCCATTACTCCTTTCCGAAGCAATCACAGTGCATAAACAGAACGGTCATTGAGAATGGCGGAAGTGGCACCGGCTGCTCCTGTTGAATCGCAGGCAAAACACATCCTGTACTGTGGGGGTGAGTGAGCCCTTCGACTTGAATGCTTGTGACGCAATGAGAATTGATCCCCCGCCCCCTCACCTCCTCAATCTCAGCGCGCTCATGGCTAACCTCTACTGCTCCGAACAGTCTGTACACTTCCTCCAGAGGTATGGAATCTCCTTGTGTGACGGATTCAGACCGGCCCTATATTTTGCTCCGTGTTCATGTTGAGTCGACATAATTAAAATGATTAACATCTGAAAATCCAGTACTGTGAGTTCGGTGGTACGGCGAAAAAATGCGAAGAGTGGTTGAAAGATCATCATCCGGATGCATACCAAGCGCTATATTCCGAAGGTTTGCGGCCTTGCTTACCCGTCGCCGCTGGTGATGTGTCAGCTTACTGGGATTGATTGATATTTTTCTAGAGGCCCTGAGTTCTAATCTATCCTCCCTCTCGGTATCGGCTCGCGAACGGGCGGCGAAGGATGCGGCGAAGAAAGAGGCAAAAGCTGCTGCTGCGGAGGCACGCGACGCCGAGCGGAAGGCTGCTTCCAAAGTACAGATCAAACGTGTGGAGCGCAACAAACGTAAACATGTCACGGTCATTACGGGTCTTGATGTCTACGGGCTAGAGAACAAAAAGTTGGCAAAGGATCTCGGCAAGAAGTTTGCAACTGGCTCTTCTATGACTCGGTCCGCTGCTGGGACCGAGGAGATTACGGTACAGGGCGATGTGAGCGAGGATGTTAAGGAGTGGCTATTGGAGGTGTATGGCAAGGAGATCCCTGAAGCCAACATTGAGCTTATCGAGGATAAAAAGAAAAAGAGCAGCAGCAGCACCTGATCAACGATGGACCATACGCATAGCATACTCTACAATTTCTATGTTGAGGATGGGGGGAACCTAAGTACTTTGTCTCTATATATTATACAGGTAATGTCGACAGGATATGATTCCAGAGAATCGAGGCTGGCCTTGAAACTTGTCGAGAGCCTCGAAGAATTCGACGCCATCATAATTCATCGAACATCCGTAAGGGGTCCTCATCACCGGTCCTTGTGCCATCATCCGCCCTAGTAGACGTAGCTGCAACGGCCGAGGACTCACCAGGATGGCCATTGCTATGACAATGAGAATAGTTAAGCGAGTATCGCGTCCTCTTGTCCCTCTGGCTGCCTGGAACTTGTTCGCGATCAGGCTTGGGGGTAATGTGTGTGATGAGTTGGCCAGAATTAGTGATTGCGAAAATGTTTCGGGATGGTTTGGTGTCACCACAGTGGGCCAGTTCCGAATAGTGACGGCAAGCAAGGCTGTAAGGAGGCCACATATAACCACGGTCCAGAAGATTCGAAGGCGCCGCTTAACCCATGACTGCCATTCCATTTCCTTTTTATCCCATCGGTCGATTTCATGACGCATTGCTTCCAGTCTCTTTCCAAGTGCATCAGCCCTGATTTTTCCTGTTTTCATACGTTCCTCCAAAGCCTTGATCCTTTCCAGTTGGGAATGAAACTCTTTCAATTCTCCAATTTGCTTTCGAATCTCCTGGTCTAGGCCCGATGTCTCCCGTTGAAAGTCATCAAACAAGGCAGCTGTGGAGCTGGAAAGCTCTTGGAAAGAAGATATGGTCGAATTCAGCGCGGCAATCTTCTCGAGGAGATTATAGTACGTATAATCCAGTCTACGAGTAATGTCCGTTGCGAGAGATCCGACCCGTGACAAAGCAGACCGTAGATATCTAATCCATCAATATCAGTCCTTCTGTGAGGGGGGCCGTCGAGAACTTACTCTTCTCCTCGTTTCCGCCTGCTCCTCACCTGTTCCAACGTTTTCATCGAGCGAATCTCATGACGCCGGATCGGTCCAACATTGTTGTTCGGATCTGCTCCTTCGAGCAAACCGCCCATTCTTCTTCCTGTGTCCAAAGCCGCGGTCGACTCTGAACCCCAGCGGGACAAGCTTGCTTCCTGCATCATTGGTCTATACAGCCCACCATCTCCTTTGTCTCTAACATCTGCATCGTGGTTCTTTTCTTTACTGCCGGTCCATGTTGGTAGGAGACCCCTGGCCCCGGCTGACGAGGTTATATTGTTCATCCTCCGCGGAAGACGGCTGTCGCTGGATTTACTGTGTTTGTGTTTGTGCTTCGGACGTGAATTGGAGGACTTCACACGATCTAAGCGGGGAACATCGAAGGCCAGATAAAGATGATTTTGAGGTTGCTCTCCAATAACATCAAGTGTGTGCGGATCGGACAGTTGGGACACTTTGTCATAATTGCGGCCATAATGGGGTTGGATGCTGCCAACCTGGGCCTCTCTCGCAACCGGGTTGCTGTCGCCGGGTGGCTGGGAACTGGGAACTTTCGTAGCTCCAGAGCCATGGGCCGGTGGCGGGCAGGCAGACAGCTGCTTGGACGGATAGGGGAGCATCACTAGGAGAACCCCAACGATTCCTTGGATGCCCCTGCTAATGGCTCCTGTTTCTGTGCCTGTCAGTCTAGGACTGGCAGATGTTCAGATCAATTTGCATCGTCTGTTTGGCTCGCACAGCTGAAGCGAGAGTAACGTGGACATGGTTGACGGCCATAACGCCAAGCGGTGATCCCTGCGTCTGCCAGCGCCGCCTTCGGTCGGCACCCCTACATAGTATCTACTCCGTATATAAGCGATTTACCTGACAACATGAGAAGGCAATGTTCATCCCATGTACGGATTACATACCTGCTCTACTTGCAGGGATTGTTTGATCCGAAGCATTTCTAAGACAATGTAAACCGGTACAGTCCTGGAAAGTCAATTCCCAACTCCACAGTCGCCGGTGAACTCCTCCGTCCGTCCATCCATGAAGAAATCAAATCCTGAAATCGGCCATAATGTCCAAGCGCAGGAGAAAAACATCCTTCAAAACAAATCCGTAAAGGAACGCAAGAATACAAGAAAGAAATGAAGAAAGAGCTACGGTATCCATCACGCAAGTGAAGTAGAACAGGTATGAACAAAAAGAGTGTTTGGGGGGGAAGTGCCGAGGTGCAAGGGAAGTAAAACAATATATGTCAACGGCTTTCATAGATCATTGCTGCAATTACGAGTTGAGCAACTTGTTGCGCTTTTCCCGGCGCTTCAGGCGCTCGACTCGCTTGCGGTGCATTTTCTCTGCCATCTTCTCATAGCGTTCTTTTTCCTCCTTGGCGGCTCGACGATCCTTGATTCTTTGGATATGCGCCTGTTTGATTGTCAGTCCAACCCATCGGCCTTTTCCTGACACCATGCACAAGCCAATCTCACCTTGCGTTCGGCCTCCTTTTCTTCCTTCAACTCTCTCTCGTGTTCCTTCACGGCTTCCTGGTGCTTGCGTGCTTCCAGCCGCTTAGCGTAGGAGGTCATGCCCGCAGTAGGCCGGAACGGCTTTTTGGTATCATGCCAGTTTTTCCCTGCGGGTCCGAAGGGGGAAAACATTAGCAACCGTTATTTTCCAAGACGAGGAAGAAAAAGTGGGGGCCAGATTTACCATTTTTCCGCATGCCCGTCGGAGGTGCTGAGACTGGAGACGCGGATGACATGGTCGGGCAGGGTCGGTTAGGAAGGGAGGCTGGCCAGATGGTAAGAGGGAAGGGGAGAAAGAGAAGCGATAGCAGCGGATGATATATGGATTCCTCTTAGCCCTCCGCTGCCTTTTTTGGGGGCCTTCGAGTTTTGAGGAAAAAGTTATCTTAGACCGATCAGATAACCGGATCTCGGCAGAAGTGGCATCCCGTGGCCCCATCTGGCGTGCGTGAGGGATTTGTCCGGCGAAATTCTACGGATCACCTTGGCTAGCTGGACTCGTCGCAACCAACCGCCGCGAATGTTCACCCCCACTATCGTCCACCTTCCGCTCCCCTGCCCTCTTGGCCTTTTGGGCTCGTTTTCTTGCTTGCCCCTGCAAGCGATGCTCCCTCATCGCTGATTTTATCGCGCGTGGTTTGGGCACACCAAGGAAAACCCCTCGTCGACACACCGCCCCTCCGAGATTCTGTCGGCCTTAAATACTCTCGACCCTCTTTCCTGAACAGCTTGCGGCACTCTACAATGTTCATCCGATAGAACTCCTCTCCTACCCTGCCCCCCCTTCCTCTTTGTATATTCCGATATATTGCGCTTCGAGATCTGAACCGCTCGGTCCCCCTTCCCTTATGGCGGCCGCTGAACACACGATAGCAATCGACAATGAAACGGCGATGGAGCTCCCCACACTTCCGCCCAATCAAGGCCTCGAAGCCTTCAAAGATATAGTTTTCGGATCTGTAAGCCATGCCGTCTCGTCGGTACTATATGTGACTAATGTTGGAAATCGCCAGGCTGCGGGGATGGCGGGCAAAGTGATCGAGTTCCCCTTCGACACCGTCAAAGTACGACTTCAATCGCAGCCGGATCACCTTCCTCTGAGATACCAAGGGCCTTTGGATTGTTTCCGCCAATCATTCCAGGCGGATGGTCTACGCGGGCTTTACCGTGGCATCAGCGCACCCTTGGCAGGGGCTGCCGTGGAGAACAGCTGCCTGTTTTTCAGCTACCGTATTATCCAGGATATATTGAGGGCCACCTTCTACACCTCGACCGACGTGCTGCCTTTTCCCGCCCTAGTTCTGTGCGGCGCTGCATCTGGGTCCATCACCTCGCTTGCACTTACTCCCATTGAGCTCATTAAGTGCAAAATGCAAGTTCCTCTCGCGGGTACCAACGCAACGGCGCCGGGACCTTTGGCTCTTGTTGCGTCCGTCTTTCGCCAAGACGGTATTCTTGGTTTCTGGCGCGGTCAGCTGGGAACGCTGATCCGCGAGACAGGTGGGGGTGCTGCCTGGTTCGGAGGCTACGAAGGGGTCTCGGCACTGTTTCGCGCCACTCGTGTCCCATCTGCTGAGGTCGGTCAAAGCAAAACGGATGCCGATAAGCTTCCACTTTGTCAGCAAATGATCGCAGGTGCAGCGGCCGGTGTCAGTTATAACTTCCTGTTCTATCCTGCCGATACAATCAAATCACGCATGCAGACTGAGGATATCACCCATGTGGCACACCATGGCGAACGACAGACATTCTGGGGGGTTGCCAAAGCTCTGTGGCGACAGCAAGGGCTAAGGGCCTTATATCGAGGTTGCGGTATAACAGTTGCCCGGTCGGCCCCCAGCTCAGCCTTTATCTTCACTGTGTATGAAGGTCTACGCACTCATTTTGCCTAGACCTTGTATGGCCCAACATTACTGCACCGCTTCTATCCTTCGGTTCTTTTTTTCTTGACTCTTCAGCTGTTTTCTCCCGCTTCCCCCCCCCCCCCCCCCCAACTTTTTTTACGCTGGATTTGATGTTCCATTTGGGGCGCTTTCGAATGATACCTACAGCCATGTTTAGAGTTAGATTTCAATGTTCTGTCTTTCTTTGATTACATCGATGGGGAAGAAAAATGATCCTTTCCCTTCTTGTCTATAGAATGAATGTTTTATGTGCTCGGATCGAGGCAATCTTCAAGATGACATGCTGATTAACCTTTGGGGCGGGGGGGCTCACTATGTATGAGGACTGCAGATGAGACGCGCAGAGTGAGTCTCGGGTAGTAAGCATATAGATAGATAGAAAAGGGAGTATACTTTTGCTCGTGTTCTCGCCGTTGCGTGGGTGTGGGCCTTGAGAGGGGTAGGCCCGTACTAGTACCAAGCACGTACGACGCCCTCCGTACTGTTGTGTACAAAGTAGTTAGGAGCGGGGACCGCATCAACCAGAGCTTCCCCATTCATCCACGGCCTCCATACTGTGCTATCTCTTCCTTCCCAATCACATTCATACCCTGCTATAAATCGTGAAGTAGAGCCATGGCATCTTCCGCCGATCATTTATCTGCCCAAGAGCTCGAGACCCTTTCCACCAAGGCCATTGCTGCCAAGGCCACCGCATACTGTAAGTCTGCCAACACATTTAAGACACTCGCCCGGATGCTTGGAGAATGAACCCGGGGTTCCTAAACGTGACACAGGTCCTTATTCGAAGTTCCGCGTCGGTGCATGCATTCTGACCCGGTCAGGAGAGTACTTCCTCGGCGCAAATGTCGAGAACGCCTCTTATCCGGTTGGGACATGCGCCGAAAGAGTCGCATTTGGAAATGCAGTCGTAAGTCGTAGACATCCTTCTCTCCCCTCCTCTGTTTCTTCCATCCTCTCTCTCTCTCTCTTTTGCATTCGCCGCCCAACATTTAAGAAATCACTCACTTATTAGACAGCTGTGCAGGTGGCTGGGCACCGGGACTTCAAAGCCATTGCTGTTGCCACGGATATCAAACCAGCGGCATCGCCATGTGGCATGTGCAGACAGTTGTACGTTCAGGGCTTGCTTGTGTTCTCTCCCCCCTTCACCCCCTTCTGAATCTTTGGGGGAAATTGGAGGGGGGTGTACTAGTTCCCTTCAAAAATAGCTCCCTGTTGGCTGACCGCTTGTTCCAGCATGAGCGAATTCGCCGGCCCATCATTTCCTATTTATATGTATGATGCGGAAGGCAACTACACTCTCACAACAATGGGCGAGGTACCACCTGCCCCTTTCCCCGGTTTATTTGCCCCAGTTAACTTCTATTCGATAGCTTCTTCCTCATTCATTCGGGCCGGGAGATTTCTCCCACTGAGAGCGAAAAGTCCCCTTAGACAGTCGATCAACTTTCGTCTGGTCTTCTCTGTTTCCAAGGTAATCTTTTTTTACGGAGGTTATGCGCAGCAGGTGCTTTGTATAGATTATTTCTTCCGGGCTGACCGACGGATAGCACTAGAAATAATTTCTTAACCGCTTGTACACAGCGCAGAAGGCCTAGTGTAGCTCACCTTACCGTAAACCGGGGGCATGTAGGTACAAGGTTGTGTGGACAGTGGCTGACCGGTTTTCTATAGCTGGTGCTATGACCTGAAAATGTACCAGGCTTCTAGTGGGCATTGGGGCAGGTTTACACGTGGAGAGAATGCTGTAGTACAGAGTATCAGTGGTCGTAATTGCATTATCTCTGAGTTGGGCCTCTTGCTTGTGCTCTTTCCAGATCATTCATTAATGGCCCAGCATATATGTATATACAAAGCAAGTACACAGAGTGTTCACATTAATATCTTCCACTGAACTAAATACAAATGAACACAGGTGATGCCTACCAGGCCGCCGGTCAATGGAGAGTTAGTTTCCACCTGTTTATCTTTTTTTTTCAATAACAGAGTCATCGCGTGATACTTTCGACCCGCTCATGATAGGCGTTTGGCCTGTGAGGTAATCTTACCTGTTTGGATGAACCACACCCAGCAATCAGTGATTTGATTGCTCGATTGTCTCCAGTGAAACGGCGATGAACAGGGCAAGCTACTTAGAACAACCCTCAATAGGCCTCCCTACATAGAGACCTGTTACAAGCATGCCAGCTGGCCCATATATTTACCAAGCTTTCGCTAGATGTCCCACGGACTACATACAGCACTTAGAATGAATATTTTTGTCAGAACGCTGGGATTCATTGAGTAAGTACCCTAGGTCACCACTCAACTATAGCAGTAAGCTTGAGATGCGAGTAACATACATAAAGCATGTTTCCAACACTTGATCAACTTGAGATACAACATAACCTCATAGGCAAGACATCATGGTGACCGCAATAATGTACGCTATGCCATTAGAGCTCGTCTTCCATGTCGGCCTCGGGATCTTCAACGCCAAGAAGCTCGTCCTCATCGTCGACAACGCCGGTATAGTCGCTTCGTCGAGCGGCAAAGGATCCTCGGGAAGCATATGGTCTTGAGTAGCCCCGGTTGCGCACGTAGCCTCCAGTGCTTCGCCAGAGACTAGCAGCCAAAAGAGGAAGTGCCTTTGTAATAGCCACCGCACCCGCAATTATTGCAACTGGCAGAGTGATGAGCAAAGAGTCTCGTGATAGCAGGCCCCGAGAGCCGCCAACATTCTCCCCAAGACGAATTTGGCCGAATTTGCCATCCCATCTACTATAGGCATAATAACCGACGGCACCTGCCACAGCGACCGGAGTCACAATTGCAAAAAATAAGCCAACACCGCTGATACTATGCCTTTTGTTGTACTCTTCCTCTTTGTTGGGGCAAGGTTTCGAAACGACATGATCCAGGTTCAGCCCACCCTCACATGTTGTCTGGGGAAGGCGCCGATACCCTGTGAGTTCCCAATATTCAATCCTATCAGGATCCTCCTTACATATAGCAATCGCATCCGGCGGAGCAAGCCCAGAAACGAGGCCACAGCTGCCATCTTTCAAGGGTTCATAGTTATAGTCGCTACTCGAATTAGTCACTGAATTCAGTACTGCCAGAAATGCGGTGAGGCAGCTATTGGGGATGCTTACCACTCATAATCAGTGTATGTGCAGCTGCAATTCTTTCCAATGCTGTGAACATGAGGCTCACGCCAGTTATTCCAACATTGAGCCGACGGCTTCTTGCGATGGTATTGCTCAACATGACCGAACAAGCAGTTATTGCTCTCAAATGGATGTTTCGGTTCCCAGATATAATAATCGTGACTCTCTTTACTCTCATCCAACTTGCACGAAGTGGAGCGGAGTCCACTGAAGTCGATGCTCACGGTGGCAAGCTTGTTTCGATGGTCGGATTCCAATTCCTTACCCCAAAGGAGGAAGCTCTTAGAAGTGTCAGACGGCACAGTTGAAATATCATCAATCTGCATTTCCACGTCCGAGAAAGAGAACTCTTCCCAGGTGTTTCCCTCGTCTAGGCTGTAGTAAAGGACTTTGGTTGGTTTAGACTCGGGTACGATCACAATGACAGACCCAGCATCACCAAACTCCCACATGTACCTGCCCTTCTTCACAGACTTCCAGGTGAAGCCTGCATCCTGAGTGATAAATGTATCTACCTCATCTTCCGGACCAAGATGATCGCCAACATTTCCTACACCCATCATCAGACCGATGGCCGAGCCGGACGAGAACGTATCCCGCTCATCTCTGCGTTCGGTATAGCCGTGAAGGTGAAGCGAACAGCCAGGGATACCTTTCCCTTCTTCAGCGGAACAACTGAAGTCCTTGCCATCTGCATCTTTGGTTGGGGAAGAAAGTAATGACCATCGCCCTCCATCATTGTGGGTGATCATAGTCCTTAATTTTTTTGATTCACCGTCTGACAACTTATCCATGTTGCTGACAACGTTTGCAATTGCCACGCCCTCCATGCCCTGCATCTTCTCAAAATCAACATAGCCGCGGTGATTTCGATTCACCGCACCGAGACTGAGAACATAAAAAGTGCCGTTACTGTTGCTTTTGATGATTGAACCATACTCAGCCCCCTCCATATTGTTCACGGTAACGTGCAAGAAAACAGCATGCGTAGAACTCTCAAGTACAGTATAGGCTGTCTGAACAGGAACGTCGACATTAGGAGGAAATTGTGCCCCTGCGAATGTCCGACCATCAACACTGCTACTGGCCACTAACGAGTCGGACCTTACTGGATCTCGCGAGGCCACGATAATAAACTCAGACATCGTAGCATAGCTGATCACATCTTCGAAATGGACATGCCAATCAGAAAACCAATTGTCGCTAGACATTAGCTGCAGATGATTGTTCCTGTTCTCATTCTCATATTGCTCACAGAAGATAAGATTTGTGCTTTCTGGTCGGCTTTCCCTGCTTTCAAATTCACACTTTTGGACATAACGGCGCAGAAGTTCCCAGTTCTCGCCACGATTTTTGCTGATGTAGGCGTTAGAGTGGCAGTCATTAGACCCACAGTCCACGGCTCCAGTCCATATCAGCCAGTCTTTGTACTGGGGATGAAATGAGAGAGTTGAGAGACGTTCCTTGGTCGGGGGCGCTGGGGCTTCAAAAGGTTTGAATGTTTGAGCTCGATCGACAGTCCAAAAGCCTTTAGCACCATCAGTCAAGAGAAAGGCGCCATCACTGTTGTATGGGTGGGGCACAATTTTGTTTATTTTTTCTCCCTTCAAAAGCTCCTGCCATGTTTTGCCGTGGTCATGTGAGACATAAAACACATGTTCACTAGTAAGCATTATAATAGTCTCATCATCTCCAGAACTGCTTGATTGACGTTCCAGATAATAGTACGCGCTGAACTGTTTTCCGTCAAAGAACCTTTTCACCACGCTTAATTTGCCATCTGCAGGTGTACTACCTGCATCCTTGCATGGCCACTCAATATCATTGTCCAAGTCCTGGCCACCCTCACGGATACAGGTGTCGCCGGGTATTAGTCGCCAGCCTGATGGGCCCATAAATGTATCAGTAGGTTGTTGACATTTTCCTTCGGGTGGAGATGGCACAGCAGCCAGGATGCAGTTCTTTCCGTCCTCACTGCGCTTGTATTGGCACTCAAAATCTTCTGCCGTACAACTGCATGGCTTCAATATCGCCTGTGGATCCTTGAACTCTTTGTCCACAAAACAATCCGCATTCGCCTTTCTACGGCGAAATAGCTGCGTGTGGCCCATCAAGCAGTCGGGCTCGCCATTCTTGTCTAATCTGGCCGGCCACATTTCGAAGTCATTTTCTTCACATTGTCGCTCGTGCAGGCCACTGAAATCGATGGAATAGACAACATGCCCCCCGTCCTTGTTATGCTTTCCAACCAGGACAAATTTCAGGCTGGTCGAGTCAGGGGTGGTCGTGACCATTGTCGGGTATATCTTGTGTTCGAGCTCCACAGATTCCCATTCTTTGCCATGATCAAGGGAAAATCTAACCTTACTAGCTGTCCCATCATCGCTAACCGCCATGACAACAGCTCCTTGGTCGCCAAACTCATATTTATGCGGCCCGTCAAGAGCGTGACGCCAACTCACGCCTGCATCATCCGAAATATATAGATCGCCATCAGCGTACTTTTTGAGGTGGTCACCCGTATTGCCGACACCCATTACTAGCCCCGGTGCTGGGCTTGAAAACACTCGGCCAATATTTGCGAACGCAGTTACTGAATGTAGATGTAGGTTTTCGTCATTGACTTTTAGCGCCTGGAAACTTCTTCCATCGTCGAAGCTAATCTTGCTGATGACCTTCTTCTCAGACCCTGACTCGACTTCCTTTGGATTTTTCACGGTGTTGACCATTACTATCCCCTGTATCCCGGCAATCTTTTCGAAATCAACTGTACCTTCCATGTCGCGGTTGGTGTGTTCGATATTACGGCTAAAGAAGGTACCGTTCGAGTTAGACGTGAAAAGCACGCCCATACTGCTGGATGGACTGGTCAGAACGTCTACCTGTAAGCTGTAGTTAGTGCTCTCAAGCATCGTGTAGGCATCCTGCTCCACTCGGTGACCATCAAATTCAGCTCGACTCCAGGTATCTGTGTCAGTCGTCACAAACAAAGCAAGTTCCTCTGTCCCCTTAGATTTGACAGCGGCCACGATGAATTTCTTGACAGCGGCTGTGCTTATGACACCAGAAACCGGTCGGCCTTCTTGCAACTTTACCTCCGTGCCCTCAATGTTGCTGCTGAAGTAGTCGTCCGAGTATACCAGTCGGTTTGCATGCCCAAATGGTACCTTCAATCCCGGGACAACACAAAGTGATCTGTCGTTAAGCTCCTCGGAGATATCCATGTCCTCGGCGAACTGGGGATGCCCTACTGCCCATGAGCACCCCGCAGCACTCTCTCGCAGTAATTTAATAGTTTTGAAATCATCCGTTGTATAGTATGACCTCACAATGCAAAAAAGTCCGGCGCATTCTTCGCTTTGTAAGATGACTTTGCTCGAATCCCAGCCATGAAAAACGAGAGGAGGGTGCTGAATTGCCGGGAAGTCACCAATATCAAACGTTCTCCACGTCTTGGCTTGATCAGTAGTGACCAAGTGGTGTCCATTGTTGCCGATGGCGTAGGCCTTGGTATTGTCAAACGGGTGCTGTCGAATAAACAAGATTTGATGCTTTAGACTGCCATCATCGGACTCAACCATTTGCCATCCCTCGCCCCCATCGAAGGATTGTAAGAGATCACCATTCTTCAAGCTCATGACAACAGTTTCTGTGTCCTCAAAATAAAATAGTGCGACTGGTTCATGCTCAAACTTGGTTTCGGTGATTCTTGGTCGATCTAACTTCGCAAAACCGGGCTGCAAAGTGAGTGCCAATAACAGGCAACTCACTAGCAGGAGCCATCGAAAGGTCATGACCGAGGATTATGCAACATTTGAGACTGGAAGGGAACGAGACCTATGATTCAGCAAAAGCTGTCGCCGGGGTGATGTTCTGATATGAGAGACACTGGGCAATGAATAACTGATAAATGTCGAAGAGTCAGGGCAGTTTTCCACGCAACACAAGTTGGAAGTGAAGGGAAGTATGGTTGTGGTCTACAGGCAAGAATGTTGTCTCGACGATCACTGTAGACTAGCAGCGTGGCCGGGAAGCTCCATAGTCACGTGTCACACATTGCTTATCGGGCCTAGGAATCCAGACATGCGACATGCCAGAGTGGAGCTTCTGTCCTCGGTCGAGATGTACTATCTAACTGATAGCCCGTGAAAGTCCGTACACGATAAGTAATGAACCGAAAACCCATTTTGTTTCCAGACCATACCCATACTTGCTCTTAGCAAGCATCTCTGCCGAGTGCTCAGTACAGAATGGAGTAGCTATCTATAGGCTGATGATCAGGTGATGGCCCCCTCTGCTCACCCAACACCTCGTGAATTACTACACCAGGCTACACGAGGGTTTTAGCTATAGTAGTATTTTACCTTACCAGATGACTGGGGCTCACCACTCTAAGAAACGTCGGTCCATCATTTTAGACCAACCTTACGTTAAATATGGTCAATGACTTCCAGCACCTGACATGGGTAGTTAGGTACAAACTTGATCGCAACCAACTTACATTGCTCACTGCCGACACAGAACTGACATGCCATTCATTCCAGGCTACAGTCAACCTTGACTACCTGCGCCTACCACCTAACTATATACCAGCTATGTCAGACTATTTGTACCAACTACCGTAGTACCTGTGACGGAAGGAACCACGTGACCTTACTGCCTCGCACCCACGCGTCCTTATAGCAAAAATACAAGCTTGTTGATCCTCGCATGATTTGCTACAAGACCTTGGGGGGGGGAGGGGGGTCGCTCGCGCGCCCCATGCAACCATACAGACATAAGTATAAATATTTTTGTGCCAGTTAACGAGGTTACATAGAATAGGTAGAGTAATAGCAAGTAAAGTAGTAGCAAGTACAGAGTAGAGTAATAGTGAAGTGGATTCTCAGGGGTGTAGGGGCTTTCAGATGCTTTACTTATATATAGTCTAAGGCGCAGATATAGATTATTAATAAAAAATAGAAGAAGTATTTCTTAGAATTATAATATTAATATTTTAAGTATTTAATAATTTCTATCTGATAATTATTAATAAATTTATTTAAAAAATTTATTAGAATATATATTTACTTAACTAAAGATAAAATAATTATATTTTATTTTTAATAAATTAAAAATAGAATATTTTTTTATTTATAAATTTAATTATATTATATTACTTCTCTTTATTTAAAATATAATTAATTTTTTAAATTAAAGTAATCAAAATAAGTATAAATTAGAGCTGTATTAAATATTTAAAAAAAAATTAAATATATTAATATATTATAACTAATTTTTTTATTTATTTAAATAAATTTTAAATTTTAAAGAAAATATATTTAATTAATTTATATAATTATTTTAATTAATCTATCTACTATTATATTTTTTATAAATAAATAAATAGAGTGGATTTTGGTTGAAGAACAGGTTAAAAACCAAGCTTTTGAAATCTGTATTTAAATAAATATTTTACTATATATTAATATTTTTAAAATATAATTAAACTTAAGTCTTATTTAGATTTATATTTTATATTTTAAATATAGTCTAGTATAATAAAATTATATTTAATATATAATTAATTAGTTTTAGAATATTTTAATTAATTAATTTTTAACTATTAAATAATATAATATATTAATAGTATATTAGATAATACAAATATATATATAATATAGATTTCATATTTAATAATATAAATTATAATATATAAAATTATATAAAAATTTATATAATATTTTATCTTTATATTTATATCTATATTTTTTAACTCTTTTGCTTAAAACAGTTAACTGTCAGATTATAAGAGTGTGTGTTAAGGTAGTATAAAGAAAGTATATCTATCACAAAGTCAAGATAATATCTATATTACTTAAAATATTATTATTAGTCTTTTATCTAGCTTCTTTCACAGATAAATATATTTATAAAAATTCTATAAATTATATATTATATTAATATAATTACTTTATAAGAAACTGTCTTTATAGTATAAATATTTTTTATAATATAATATATTATAAGAATTATAAGAATTATTATTCTTATAATTATCTCTCTTCTTAGAATCTTAATTCTTAAGATTATTATTTATAAAAAATTAAATATTTTTAAAATTTCTGCTATAAAATCTTCTTTATAAAAAAATTAATTAAAAAAAAGATAATTTTTTTTTATAATATTTATTTTATATAAATTTACCGCAGCTATTCTATATAGCTATAATTATATTATTATTTATTATATTTTAGATTTCTATAATTATAATTGGATAATAAATATTATAAATATTTCTGTAATTATAATTAAATAATAAATATAATATAATATTTTTAATTTAGATATAAATTAAAGCTTAAGACTCAGAACTCAGAATTCTAAGAAAAAATATTTTTTTTAAATTTTTTTTTTCTTAATTTTCTTTATTTTTTAATTTTTTTCTTAATCTCTGCGGTCTCTCTCTTCTAATTATTATTATTATTATAAATAAATATTTATTTAAAAAATTCTTATAATTATTTATATTCTTATAGCTGTTTTATATTTTTATAATTATTTTATATTTTTTATAGCTTATTTTATATCTTTATAACTATTAACTATTTTATATTTTTATAATTTATTTTATATTTTTATAGCTATTTTATATTTTATAGCTGTTTTATATTTTTATAACTTACTTTATATTTTTATAACTATTTTTATTTTTATAACTTATTTATATTTTTATAATTATTTTATACTCTTATAGCTCTAAAATATCTATATTAAATTATAAAATATAATATTTTATAATTTTTATTAATTTATAAATATTTATTACTTTGTAAGTCTAGAGTATATATAATCTAATTCAAAAATTATAACTAATTATCTTAATATCTTTTTTTTATATTATATATCTACTAGCTCTCTTTTTTATAAAAAATTATTATTTTTATTATTAGATTTTAATTTTTTTAATTTTTTTAATTTTTTTCTTTTTATAGGTATCTGTGATAAATAATTTCTTAGAGAGATTTACTTTATATCTTATAATTAATATAAAATTAAAGCAGTCTATTTCTATAATTATTATTATTATTATTATTATTATTATTATTATTACTATTACTGCTGCTGTCTTTATTTTTATTATTATTATTATTATTATTAATATTACTACTGCTTCTGCTGCGGCTTTTTTATTTTTTTTTATAATAAATATTTATTTTTTTATAGAGTATAAAAAGTTAATTTATATATAATTTATTATTTTATTAGCTAAAATTCTTAAAATAATCTAATTCTTTATAATATTATTTTTTTATATCTTTCTTATAATTTATTATTATAATAAAGATATTATTTTAAATAATATTCTTATTATTTCTATAATCTGTAAATAATAAATAAATTAATTATTTTTTTTTAAAAAAATATATTTAGATCTGTTTAAGATTAATCTATTTTATAAAATATTAAACAAAGCTTAGTTTATAAATCTATTTATAATAAACTAATTTATTAATATCTCTGTAAATATATTAATAATTTTATTAAACTTTTTTTTAAATAAAATTATAATTTTTATTTAATTAAAAAGAATATTAAATTATATAACTAATAATATAATCTATTTTTTTTATTAAATTTAAAAGCTATTATTAATTAAAGATATAGATTTAGCTTTATAAGATTTTTTTTATAATTAGAGCTGACTAGCTTTTTTTCTTAATTAAATATATAATATATATTATAATCTCTTAGACTTAAGAATATTTATAATATATATTAATAATAATTATAAATAAAAATATAATAATTATATTTAGACTAGATATAAAATCTATTTTTTATAAATTAAATAATTAATTTATTTATCTTTATTTTTATAAATATTTATTATCTCTTATATTTGAAACTGCTATTAAATAAAAATTTTTATAAATAATTTTTTTTATTATTTTATTATTTTATCTTTTTTTTTATTTTTTAAATAAAGACTATACTCGCGAATAAATTTCTTATAAAATTATAAATAATATAGATTCGCGGCCGGTTTTTAAATATTATTTTTATTAAAATAATTCTTTTATTTAATTAAGATTTTTAAGAATTTATTTTAACTTTATAAGACTAATAAAATCTTTAAATAATATTTATAATTATTTTTCTTTATAAAAAAATATTTTTATAAATTTATCTTATCTATTTTATAATATTTATAAAATAATAATATATAAAATATATTATATATTTATAATTTTATAAATAACTTTAGTCTATAGACTTATAAGTTTATTTATTTAATAATATAATAGAATTTTTTATTTTATAAATTTAGTTTTTTATTAGTCTATCTTTACAGAAGATATTTTATAAATAATTAAATTATTTTTTTTAATATAAAACTTTTTATTTATTTTTTATAATTATAAAATTATTTCTATTTTTTATAAGTAGAAGTTAGATTTTTTTTTATTTTAATATAAATTTTTTAAATATATTTAATTTATTCAGAGACTTTAATCTCTGCTTTTCTTTTTTTATAAAAATCTATCTTAATAATTTATAAGTATTTTATAATAATAATATAAAAAAATAATTTCTTTATAAAGATTTATAAGATATTATTATATATAAACTCTGTAATAGATAATAAATCTATTTAATTATTTTATTTAAAATTAATATAATTTTATAAATATTATTTAAAAATATTATTTAATTTTTTGGTTTAATTATTAATTTATAAATAATAAGCTATGCTTAACTCTTTTTTTATTATAAATATATAAATAAAATTAGATTAAAAATTTTTTATAAA